TCCTGCTGACTGAATCCTGTCTGAGAAAGGTGGAGAATGACAAATTGTTTGATGGAAGGATACTTGCTTCAGAAGTCATTATTTAGTGAAAATTCAACATTTTGAGATTTAACTAAAGATTAATGAAGGAGTTGTTATATATAACTATACTGCAAAATCTCTGTTGTTTAACATTAAAAACTGGTGGACATATGGTCTCTAAATTTTAATATTCTTCTGTATGACTCATTAGTGCAGCACACAATTAAGGACTTATACCAGAATTTTATGATAAATTTTAAATCAAATTATTAATGAATCATTCTAATTTTAACTGTGACAGATTCTACTATTAATAATTACTACAAGGAAAGCCTGAGATATCTTACAATTGTAACCCTGGTGGCGGTGCTACCTGCAGTCATGTCCACATCTTTGGGATCCTGGGATACCAATAGGTCTTGATCTACTCCCACTCTGTCTACAGGCTGGGATCCACCACTCATTGAACTGCTCTCCTGTGGTCCTCCCTTCACCAGACCACACACTAAATAACTATTTAGAATAATTTATTATTTACAATAACTGAGAGACTGACAAATTCAACATCCCATAAATAACAAACAAAATATTTTCAATGAGCTCAATAAAAATCTATACCAGCAGATAAAGCAAATACTTATCATATAGCAAAAGCAATTATGTTATCAGCTTTAACACCCAGGCAACTTATAAAAGGTACATGCACTTAGTCAGCCAGGTCTATACAAAAATCACTCTGCCAGCAGCAAAATAGTCCACTGTGGAGTGGCCGCAGTTGAGCCCCGGGGAGTGGTGCTCACTCTGCCTCTGGAGAGGGGTGGCGATGCTGTCATCTGGACAGAAGATGGGGGTGCCTGTCAGGACCGCGGGTCTGCCTGCTCTGGAGACCAGGGTTTCTTCCCTTTTCCAGTCTTTCTTGGATGCCTGCAATTAATCACACCATTCTCCAGATACTTCCCCAAGGCATCTCCCCTGTGTTTGGCTCCTGGAGTGCCCCGTCTCAGCTGTACTTTATTGAGCTCTCTGCTGGAGCTCCCACAAAGCCATGATTCCCTGCTACTTTCTTTAGCTCTCCCAGAAAACCTCCTCTAGCAACCCCCTGTCCCTGATTCCCTCCCAGTGATGCCGTGCACCCAGGGAACTTAAGAGTGTGGGGGCAGAACCCATTTGCACAAGCCCTGCTCCTTTAGTAAAGGATACCAGGCAATGCTGGGTACTCAGTAGCTTATAGCTCCTCTGCCCTCAGTAGCCGCTCACTCAGCAACAATGCTTCTGCCAGTCATCCTTGAAGAAGCAATTGTCCTGGTAGCAGCCCCCTCAGAAGCAGCCCTTCACAGCACAGTTTCAGCTCCCCTCTCCTCAGCAAGTCTCCCCCTGTTTTTTTCCCAAGCTTCCCACCCTGGAGTTAGAGTTGTCCAATCATGTGCACAGCCTGCTGAAGATTCTTGTCCCAAGAGTGCAAACACTCCGATTCAGCTTGCAAGCTCTGAGGAAACCCTTCAGCACCTTTACACAGCCATTAAGTAAACCAGCTCTAGCCTTGGTTTAAAAGGTATCAATTCCCGCCTCAATTTTGTCAGCAATTATATTTCCGTCCATAAGGAAGCAAGACAACAGGGATGATGAAGGACAGAGGAGTTCTTAAATACCAAAATTAAGTGCCTGAAAGCCAGAGGAAAAGTATCTCCTGTCAATGAAGTTCTATTGCAAAACTAACTTCCAGAGTAGATTAAAATAATTCCGGGTCTGATCATGTTAAGCAAAACTTTTATCCTAATTGAATCATTCACCCCAGAATAAAAAAAAATGTACATAGATGCATGTCAGGAGCACACACACACACCACACACATTTTACAATCCAAGAAACATTAGTACAAAGTGAGGGACAAATTTGAAGTGCACATTCCATTATCATCATTTTTCATTCATTACATTTGCCAAAATTATAATAGCTAGTAAGGGTATATGAAGTGAGCAGTATTAGATTCAGATTCAGCCTGATTTGGGGAACAGTGATTCAATTTGGTGATTCAGATCACTGTCCCCAATTCAAGATTTGCTTCTGATATGGTGAATCAAGGATTCGGCCATAGACACAACTTTATATGTTTTTTCTACATACCTTGAGGTACCAGGCATGGCATGTGAACACTGAAGTGGTAGGGCAGATGGAGCATCCCACAAGAGCATGCCTCTCCCCACTGGCTTGGTGATCATCTGCGGGAGGATCCTGGGTGCCCCCCCAGGCCCAGGAGGCACCAGTCACTGAACTGGGGGGTGTGGAAGTGATCCCCTGCATGCACTGCAGCAGACCCGAAAGTAGACCAGAAGTCCTGTGGGACACTATCCGCCCTGTAACAGGAGGGACGGCAGGGTCACCTTGCTAGCCCTTGCCGCCTCCTCTACTGTGCCAAGCTTCAGATTTGCACCCTCCTATTCTCGCCCGCCATGACTTTGATGATATGTTTCTTTTGTAGGGAAGCTACCTCTCCTCCACTTGGCCACAGTTCTCCTGCTCCGGGTATCCGGCGTGTCTAGGCCTTGCGGGCCTTCTCTATATGCCACCCTTCTCACCGGGCTCTCCCCTCTGCAAGGCTGCCCCACTCACCGGGGCTCTCCCCTCTGCAAGGCTGCCCCACTCACCGGGGCTCTCCCCTCTGCAAGGCTGCCCCACTCACCGGGGCTCTCCCCTCTGCAAGGCTGCCCCACTCACCGGGGCTCTCCCCTCTGCAAGGCTGCCCCACTCACCGGGGCTCTCCCCTCTGCAAGGCTGCCCCACTCACCGGGGCTCTCCCCTCTGCAAGGCTGCCCCACTCACCGGGGCTCTCCCCTCTGCAAGGCTGCCCCACTCACCGGGGCTCTCCCCTCTGCAAGGCTGCCCCACTCACCGGGGCTCTCCCCTCTGCAAGGCTGCCCCACTCACCGGGGCTCTCCCCTCTGCAAGGCTGCCCCACTCACCGGGGCTCTCCCCTCTGCAAGGCTGTCCCCTTCCCTGGGGCTTGCCACACCCACACTAGGGCTTCTCAATAACGTCCCGTCTCTGGGGCTCATCACACCCGCACTGGGACTTCTTAGTAGTGCCCCCTCCTGGGGCTCGCCGTGCCCGCACTGGGCTTCTTAAACAGCTGTCCCCTTCCTGGGGCTCGTAGTGCCCAACTTGGGCTTCTCTAAGTTGCCCCCTTCCTGGGGCTCATCACGCCCGCACTAGGGCTTCTCAAATGTGCACGCCCCTCTCTGGGACTCGCTGTGCCCACACCTGGGCTTCTAAAACATGCTGCCCCCTTTCTCTGGGGTTTTCTACACCCGCACTGGGGCTTCTCAAAATGCCCCCTCTCTGGGGCTGGGGTCCAAGCACCCTGTAAGCTGCGCCCTCACTGGCACCGGGGCCCCCACACCACTGTGGGTCCCTATAAGAATACTGCACCCGCTCTGGCACTGGGGTCCTCACACTTTGTTGTGAGCCCCCAATGAGGCCTCCTCCATCCCCTTATAGCCTCACCCAAACCCCCGGTGTTAAACAAACTGCAAACTCAAACAACAACATAAACACAAGCCCCTGGGCTACAACGCAAACATAAGCCTCCAGCTATAACTAGGCTCAGGCCTACCAGGTTTTCTCTCCTACCATGGTGACCAATGCTGCTCTGGCATTCAGGTTCTCTCTCTTCTGGCCAGGAGTTGCCTCATCCTTCCCTGTTGGTAGGGAACTCCTACTGTCTTAGATGCCAGTCAGCAACTGCCTCTAGTCTCAGCTCCCTTTCCTCCTCATATGAGCCAGGTCTTGCCTCTTATAGCCAGCTGACCGCTGGCAGGTGTGGGTCGTTTGCTGGCTCCTGTTGCCTTGGGAACCAGCACCTGAGGAGTCTTCCGCGCTCTCTCAGTAGCAGGCACCTTAGTGTCCTGCTACACGCCCCACCATCTCAGTGTTCACGAGCCATGCCTTGTACCTTGAGGTATATAGAAAAAACATATAAAGCTGTGTCTGTGGCCGAATTATCAAATCTCTCTGAATCGAATTGGAGGCTTCCGATTTGATTCAGAGAAATTAATGGGTATCCTGATTCAATTCAGATTAATAGATTTGGCCACTAAATCAGGTTGAATATCCTCTGAATCAGCGACTGAAGCTTCTCACAGTCCTAATAGCTAGGTACAGACCAAATCTTTAACCGTACAGAAGTTCAGGGCACATAGAGCAGACTGAAAATGGCAGAACTTGATATAAAATAGTCCTGGATTGATGTGGTATCAGATTTTTGTGAATTAGGTAGGTCCGGTGCATGAAACTTCTGTACCAGATCCCTTATCAAATCAATTTATGTCATTGTCCTCTGACATCCCAGGCACCTTTGTGCCTTTCTTCTAGTCCCACTTTGCATGGAGGTGTGCTATGACTCAGCACCATGTTCAGCTGCTCTGGCCAAGCACCTAGTGTTCCCTGATCCTGGGCTGTCATCCACCCAAGCCAGCACAGAATCTGTCCCCAGCTCCACCTCCGGCTTCCATCCAGGCACAGCCAGGATCAGCTAGGCACTGGCAGGAGGGAGGAGGATGGGGGCATTCATGGTGGGAAACAAAAGCTTCTATATCCCCTGCATGTACCATAAGACCTAGGCAGCCATGTCCCCTGACCCCATCATGAAGCACTCCCATTGTCAGGGATCCTGGTTTTCTCTGATTAAAAAAAAAAAAAAAATCCCCAATTTTCGAATTAAAAAAGTAACCCAAAATCCACATTTTTCTGTGATCAAAAATCAACACCACTATATATAAAATATATTAATGGTGTTTCATTTTAATCATGGAAAAATGTGGCTTTTGGATTATTTTTTTTAATCTGAAAATTGGAGATTTTCCCCCACTACTGCCTCCCACTGTGCACCATCAAAGCCTCTCTCCAGTTCTCAGTCATCTCCCAGGCCACCATTTCCTACAGCAGGAGCAAAGTATATTGGTTGGGCATCCCAACAGTAGTGAAAAACTTTATTCCTTCAGACCCAGCCAACTCTCAGCAGGGGGAATGTTGGGAGTGAAGACCCACTATGGCAGGGATGCAAGGCCAAAACATCTCTCTTCTAAGAGAATCACAGGGGGTGAGAGGCAGCGTTAGCACTTTGCCATGCCCATTGAGACTCACCAGGGCCATGTTGGTCCCACAGGGATGTAGCACTGAAATGCCTCTTCTGAATGGGAAAGATGGGGGAAAGGGGCACTTTTAGGCCTCTGCTGGCATTCTCTGAGTGGTCCCTTCCTGCCCACTCTGAGATGGTCTGAGTTCCTGGCCAGGGTCCCTAGGCCCTCTGAGAGACCAGAACGGGTTCCAACTACAGTGCCTGCAGTATCTGCAGGCCCTCCCTCCCTGGTAATCCATTCCTGCCCTGATGCTGAGACAGATGCTCCCCACCAGCACAGCTCCTGGCCCCAGGTAGGGGAATGGTCCAGACAGGGGATTCACCATAGTTGCCTCAGTGTCTCCGCATTACTCCCCAGACTGGTGTTATGAGGGTCTAAGATGCTTCCCTTTATATTTCATTATTTTCAGCAAAAGTTGCAACTTTGCACAAAAGCTCTGTCTCTCCACTATTTGATTGCAGAGGCTGCAACCCTGTGAGGAAGGTGCATTGTGGATGGGATAGTGGCTGAAGGCTGGATAGCCAGACATCTGTAGAGCACATAAGGGATATCTGTAAGAAGATTTGAAGAAGCAAAGGGTAGATACTGCAGGCCTTGGTCACTGCTTCCGAGCCCTGGATGCACACAGCTGACTCCTGGTGCTTGAAGCTGTGGAACCGGCATGAGGAGAGACCACAGATGTGGAGCAGGGACATGCTCAGGCTGGGGGATGCCTACATCTGGGCTGCCAAAGTGCAGAACTAGTGGATTGAGAGGCCACTGCTGTTTAGAGGAGGCAGGCTGTACCACAGCACCAGGACAGGTAGTTTATGGACAGCATCCTGGGCCCCTTTGCATTCACCTATGACACCCCTGACTAAAGTCAGCACGGCCTAGCTCCATAGCCCTCCTGGCTTGGAGTGGTTGCCACCCAGGCTCCTATAGCATGCCAAGCCCTGCCCTGGGGACTCTCACCTGAAGTAACAGGAATGGGACTCCCATGGGAGTATATATATATATATCCGTACATTAGTGATGTTTCATTTTGATCATGGAAAAATATGGATTTGGGTCTCCTTTTTTTTAATCTGAAAAGTGGAAGGGTTTTTTTAATCAGAGAAAACCAGGATCCCTGGTCATGTGTCCCTTGCTCAGGCAGTGGTTGAAGTGCTCCTTTCAGAGGTCTGGCTGCCCCCTTTAAGGCTTCAGGAGCCAGGGTAGGAGGGATTATGCTGGGTCCTAGATGATGAGAGGGAGGATGATCATGTCACCAATGGCAAACTGAATACCGCAGGGACATAGTGCCTGCTCTCCATCAGCCTGGAGAGTGGGGAGCTATGAAAGACATGGGCATTGTAGTCACTGCCCACCCAGCTAGTGGACATGTGGGTGAAGTGGACATGATGGTCAATGACACTCTGCAGGATGATGGAGAAGTAGACCCTGTGGTTGCTGAATGCCTGAGCCAGGCACAGGATGAGGATATGGGCACTGTCCACAGCCTCCACACAATTGAAGAAGCCCATATGGTAGAAGCTGGCAACCAACTCCTGTGGCTTGACAAGACATTTGAAGTGATTTATCAAGACATTATGTAAGATCAGGCACACTTCCCAGATAGCCTTGCTGGATGTGCTCTTGACCATGTCAAACTGGTTGATGATGCATGGGCAACTTCTAGGACTGGCCAGCTTTATGATGGTGATGATTTTAAAAAGTCCCCAATTTTTGGTTAAAAAAAGTAACCACAAATTCATATTTTTTCCATGATTAAAATGAAACACCACTAATATCTATCTATCTATCTATCTATCTATCTATCTATAAAGATATAGGTATAGATATAGAGATATAGAGTTATAGATAGATATTGGTATTGATATCAATATAGATATATAGTGGTGTTTCATTTTAATCAGGGACAAATGTGAATTTGGGGTTACTTCTTTCTCTCTCTCTCTCTATATATATGTGGCATTTAATTTTAGTCATGGAAAATTGTGGATTTTGCATTTTTTTTTTTTACCCAAAATTTTGGGATTTTTTCTAATCAAAGAAAACCAGGATCCCTGGTGATATCCCGCTGCCTTCAGTGAGAGTTGTGCAGGGTGACAAACAGGACATTCTGCATTTCCTGGGAATCCTTGCTTAGGTACAGGTGGTTGGATGCCATGTTGGGGTGCAAGGAGGCCAAAAAATTAAGGCATGTGCAAGTCATGATGGAAGGCAGTCTTTCTGGGGCTCCCTATAAGCCTAGGACTGGGTGCAGGGGAGGGTCTACAGTGATGTGGCAGGGGGGTGGGGCCACAGTTGCCCATGCCTGGCAGACAATCCAGGGTACTCCAGCCACTCAAGTGTTCTTGGCAACCTCTGGCAACCCAGGGAGCTTATGGGGCAAGCTGGGAGGCAAGCGAGAGTACCCCCAGCCTGCTACCCTTGGTTACTGCAGGAAGTCTGTGTACCCCGCAAAAAAGGGTGAATTTGTTTTCTGTTCACTGCCAAACTAACCTAGTTTAAAGAAACCTACATAAGCTAGTTTGAATCCACCTCGACTTTGAATGTCTGTTCCAAGTCAATATGTATATCTGGACTGATTTTTTAACATATTTCAGCCTTAAAGAAAATGTTTGTTAGATTACAGGTTCAATCATGCTTTTTACTTCTACACACACAAAATATGGTATGGTTGGAACTGTGCCTGCTTCTATGGACTGAAACCCTAGTCCTGCCATGAGGGCTTGCTGTTTATAGTTCTGGCCAGAGGCTACTCTACTGAAGCTTGTAGAGGTTAGCTCTTTCTGTGATACTCTGACTGACCAGGTCAATACACTGGCTCTATTGAAAGCCATCTTGCACCTCCAGCAGGAGGCCACCATTCTGATGATGCTACCAGGTTAGCAAACATCTTTTTTCTTTGTCTTTTCTTCCTCCTATTTAAGTACTGTCTCAAGTATAGTCTCAGGCCGTTCCATGGACAGAGATTCCTTGGAATCTCAATACCCACTGAAGTGAGAGCTCCACTTTGTTAAACTTTTGCAACATTAGAATTAGGTAATGAACTTCTCAAAGCATCCCTGAATCCCATCTTAGGAGCCTCTTCCTTTTCACTACCAGTTCTTCAGATGCTAAATTCCCATGCCAAGTTTTCTGGGAAAGGCAATAATTGTGTTTTTTTCATCCCCTCTCCTCTAAAATCTGGTGCAATTTTTGGAGCCCCATATCATTGTGGCATACTGGGGGGCTCTTCTTAGTAATGGAGACTCTCTCCTGTACTCTCATAGGTGTTTCTCATGGAGAGGGCTGGTGGGGAATGGTTACTGTCCCTTTCAAAAGTATCTTCCCTTAATTTTGAAGAATCCTTTTTTTTTTCTACAATGACATGTCCATACTTTGTATGCCTGTATCCAGCAGACAAGCATCATGCGCCTAATAGATGGAATCTGGCCCTTGGAGCACTTCAAGGGGCATGTGAACACACATGAATACATGCTGAGGCTGAGGCTGCTGGGAGTGTTCTAATTAAAACACTCCCACTGACTCAATTAATCGAGTCTGCTCTGATGCATTAAATTAGAATGCATTGGAGCAGGCATCAGGTGTATGCCCTTAATCAGTGCTCTTAATAAAGAACTTCAAATTGC